GTCTCTACTACGCACCTTAATTGGAACCATTAGTGACAAAGCACCACTATATGTTACAGACATCCCAAGTTCCAAGAACTAATTTCATGGAGATTAGACATCCGACCCGAAATGTGCCCCATACATATACACACCCCGCATTCTTGCCTGCACAATTGCAGTAGTTCTAACCGCACATGATGCATGAATTATTGTACTGCCTGCAGTCTCACTCGCATAAAAAAAACACCACCTTTGAATAGTCAAAAATCCGGGACAATTTAGCTAGCGGGCATCTGTGACCCTCTCCATTCATCTCTTGGTGGCAATCTTTACTCCCTGTAGCAGCAACGTCCACATCTGCCTCTATGGTTCTTTCATAGAATGTGTTTATTTTGGTAAGTTTTTTCCGTTCTTCCAGCAGCTCTTCTCTCCTTTTTCTTTCCTGGAATCTGCTTAAGTACCTCATTTTGGTATCCATTGTCTCTAACACATTATACGTAACGATTACCCCAGTCGGCCTCAGCAGATGGCCGCTCACACTGAGCCTGGTTCTGCTGGAGGTTTCTTCCTGTTAAAAGTGAGTTTTTCCTCTCCACTGTCGCTACAAGCATGCTTAGTGTGAGGGATTGCATCTGAGTCAATGAGTCGATGCAATCAACTGGTTTTTCTAGATAAAAAACTTTGAATCAATTTGACTGTATGATCTGGTGAACTGTAAAGGGCCTTCAGATAAACTGAATTGAATTGAATTGTTATGGTTTTAATCTATACTGTGGATTACCCATAATTTAAAGCCGTATTGTAAAAAATAAAATACTCAAATACATTGTTCTTTTAAGATCTTTAAACATATTATATGGGTGTATTTTTTAACAGCCGTCTAATGAACTATACACAGTTATTAACATTTTAATTAAAAGTACCACTGTCTACTTTGCTATTGGTGTCGTGTTTAAACGCTCACCATCATGTTGAAATCTGGCATGTGTTGGGGTATAAATAAGGTCCGGGTTTGGTCAGTTACTTTAGCATCAGGTGGGTATCAGGTAGTCTACAATTGCGTAGGGGGCCTACCAGGTGTCAGTGATGGGGCCCCTAAGGTCATTGCGCGTAAGCAAGTGCTGTCTCTGCTTACCGATGTTTACGCCATTGGTTAGGTTCATTAACTTCTCTAAATTGTGCTTAGGTGTGAGTGTGTGTGTCCATAATTTTGTGTCTCTGTGTTGCCCTGCGACAGACTTGCAGCCTGTCCAGGGTGTACCCTGCCTCTCACCTATAGAGTTAGAGATAGGCCTGAGAGGACATAGTGGGAGAAGATGGATGGCCTTTTTTTTCTTTCTAATAGTTACTTAAATATTTTTTTCTCCCCTATTTCAAGTTTTTTCCAGGTTCAACAGACAGAAATATCCCTGAAACTCAGCTGCTTGGCACACCAGTGTCCGCTCAGTATGTCCGCCTCCTTCCAGTGGAGTTCAACGGTCAAGCGGGCCTCCGGTTTGATGTCTTGGGATGCACACCTGACTGTAAGGAAGTCATGACACTTTCTCCATTATACTATTCTAATATGGAAAATGCTCATCTAAAATAATTGCGGCTTGACAGATGCAATTACATGTGCCGACAAGCCCAACTTCAGTTCTGGCCATGATAAAATGACGTGAGTTGAATCCAAAACATTTAATTGTTTCCGCAGCATTTGATTCATTGTAATTTATTCAGTAATCTTTCTGTATCTTAAGGGTGCATTGCCAAGCAGGCTGTGCCAAAGCAGATTACCAGGTGTATGGCACATCTGTATATCGTGGGGTATGTAATTATGTCCTATTACAGTATGTGTATCACCATGAGGTATTTCGTGTATAGGACAATCTAAATGATTTCCTTTATGCTTGTTTGGATAATTTTCTGGAATAGGACTCAAACATCTGTGCAGCAGCCATCCATGCAGGAGTTGTTCTCAACGAGAACGGAGGAGACTGCACCTTAATAAAAGCTCCAGGACAAAACTTTTATCCTGGCTCCACCAAGAACGGCATCACCTCCAGGCAGTGAGTTAAATGTTAATGTTCTCTTTATATCATGTAACCTAAAGCATAGAAGTTCATTCTAATTCTTATTTCTTCAGATTTGATGGAGACTATGAAGTCTCGTTTTCTTTTGCAAATGGGGGTGAGTAAAGATTTAATCAGTCTAAATATTTCAAATGTGCTACATGATTTCTGTTTAACCCTTGTTTGTTCTTTCTGCCATCAGAGCTGAGATGCTCTGGACCTGACTGGTATGAGTTTGGAGATTTCTGCTACAAACCTTTTGGAGACAAAAAGACTTGGCATAACGCCCGGAGCTCATGCAGGAATCTGGGTGCTGACCTTGTTTCCATCCAGTCCATGAAAGAACAGAGCTGGGTGGAAAGTTACCTATACATGGGTATGTATGCGAATGAAACCACTTAAAGTTCAAGAAGAGAGAAAAAAACAAGCATCCAAGCCTTAAATGTGAGGTTTTCTCCTTTGCAGCCACCAGTAATGTGTGGACTGGTCTTAATGACCTGGCCATCCCCGGTCTGTTCATGTGGTCTGATGAACACATAGTAACTTTTACCTACTGGGCACCAGGAGAGCCCAACAATCATAATGGCTTCAGTGAGGACTGTGTCGAGATGTTACATCAGGTCAGGTCTCATCTTTGCAAACAATCCAGCCAGCCGGGTACATAGATGTTCTTTGTAGCTAATAATGATCCATTTCCTTCCAGACTGGCAGATGGAACGATAAATCCTGCACACAGCTTAACAACTATGTATGCAAAATGCCCAAAGCACACTACCCACTCCCCTCAGTCCAGCCCACCATTTATGGATGTCCTCAGGTAGGACTGTCCAGATATTTACTCCCTTTCCGTCATCTCTTTGAGTTCCACTTTATGTTTTAATCTGTACAAAGGAACAGCAGCAATGCATTTAACAGCCAAATGTTTTCTTGGTTTATTCCAGGGTTGGGATGCATATGGCTACTCATGCTACTGGATGGAAGAGACAGCCAGGAGTTGGTCTGATGCTAAAGCCTTCTGTAAGGAGAAGGACGGCTTCCTGCTGCACATTGGAAACATGTGAGGATTAAATGTCTTTTTGATTTTTTCTTATAGCATAGCCATGAATTAGGGTAGAATCATTTGCTTTGTGAATGTGTTTGTAACCCTTGACCCTTCTTTCTTTCTTTTGTTACATCAAATTTAAGCTTCCTGTTAGTATGTTTTGCACAGCATGTGATCGGCCACATCTTTTTATAATAATGAAACTTAAGGAAAAGTTTGTAAAATAGCTCATAGTGAATTGAAATGGATGGAGAGTAACTATTAACAGAAATGATGAAGTTCAGATTCCCAGATGGATTACCATTTTGCATTTGTTCTTTGGTATTTATAATATTATTTCAAACAACAATGTTCTTACAAATTTATGAGACCCAAGAAAACAGGTAGATTTATGCCATAGGAAGAATAGGTAACTGTGAAAAAAAGGACTGACTACATATGCATGTCAAGAAAAACAAAAATGGCATAAAACCCATAAGAGGTGATGGATTAGATCCTGATGTGACGTCTTTCATGTTTCACTGCAGCTATGAGCAGTCCCATTTCACAGTGGCTCTGACTGGAAGGACTGGTTTCTGGTGGATGGGGCTCCGTGCCCAAGGCGACTTGAGCGGAGGGGTCGACTACGTGTGGGACAACGGTTTACCTTTGACCTTCACTCACTGGGACCAAGACCAGCCAGGTAGTAAAACTAAATGTAGCCCCGCCTGAGAAGTAGGATGTCTAATATGGTGGAAATGCAATTATTTTAAAGATGCTGAGGATGGTACCTGTGTGGCTATGACGACGGGTCAGATTGGTGGTTTCTGGGATGACAAACCCTGCTCAGAGGAGCACGCCTTCATCTGTGAAAAGTTCAGACCTGATATCACCCCACCTACCGAGGCTCCAACCCCTCCTCCTTCACAGGGCTGCGCTGATGGCTGGACAGCTTTGCCCCACTTCAGGAACTGCTACAAGGTAACGATGACAGAGAAGCAAAGGTAAACTTTAGCAAAAGGAGAGACTAATATCTTTTCTTTTTCTGTGTGATGCAGCTTTTCCACAATGTAGACTGGTCCCAGAAGAAGAGCTGGGGCACTGCATATGAAGACTGCATATCCAGAGGTGCTAATCTGGTCAGTATCCACAATCAGGAGGAGGAAGAGTTTTTGTCTCTGTACACTAAAGGCAGCACTAAGTGGATCGGCCTCAAGCACAACCCTATTGAAGGTGGTGAGTATCGTTAGAGGTGTCATATAAATTTTAAATAAAACCACCTAATCTCTCTTCATGTGTCATAGGCTATTCCTGGAGTGATGGAACACCACTGTCACACACAAACTGGGGTTATGGAGAGCCAAATAACCACGAAGGCCGTGAGGAGTGCGTGGAGATGGTGAGCAGCACCAACGGAACCTTCTCCTGGTGGAACGACCTCAACTGTGATGCACATCAGGATTGGATATGCATGATTACCAAAGGAAAAACTCCAGTCATTCCCCCAGCACCTCCATCTCCTGTTCCAGGTAAACTATCCCCACGAAACGCCTCAGGACATGATCTGGATTAAATTACCGGTATCTCTCAAGGCTTATTTGTTTTTATGCATCCTTCATCTTCCAGCTCCTGAGTGTGGCTCAAATCCTGGCTGGAGGAAGAACGGTGATATCTGTTACTACTACAACGACACAGATATAGTTGACTTCCACACAGCCATGATGCGCTGCTATGCAGAGAAGGCTCAGCTTGTGTCGATCCTCAGCAAAGATGAACAGGCATATGTTAACAGCATGGTACACCTTGTTTCTTTGACTTTTACAGATGAGATTTACTGTGGGCAATGAGAAAAGGTCTGTTGATTTGATGTTTCACTATTTCCTCAGGTGGGGACAGGGGAGATAGCTGCAGCCTGGATCGGCTTGAGGATGTTTGGCATTGCAAGTGGACAGTACATGTATGTACAGTTCAACATGAATCAGTATTGTAATTCTAGAGTAAAGGCATTCAAGGACTATAATGATCCATGATGCACAATTTCTTTGCCATTTTCCAGTTAGCCACAAAGGAAATGAATGGACTTTCAGACAGGGGTAGTTTCTTTATTGACAACGATGCACCAGCACTGTGTAACTTGTTAGAGAATTTGAGTGAATGATTTTGGGGTCAATATACAGTATGTGATGCATAACAATGCTCAGTGCTAGCTGCTCGTCTAAAAACTCACATATGTACCTTCAGAGGGTCGAATACGTCACTGAGTGAGTTATTTTATCCATATTGCAGCTTTCTGACAGTCTGAGTTCCCCTTAACCACCAGAGCTAACTAAGCTAAAACGTATGGAACAAAATAGTTATGACACTGACCTGGTCATGCATTTAAGGGCGCGTCTTTATAAGTAACTCCATAACTTCTTAATCTGCTGATCCAGACTTGTCCGCTATCAGAATCGTAAACACAGCTGGAGAGTGCTGTGTTGGCAATGGACCTTTGGGGGGGGTTAAACCTGGAAGTTACAGGACTAGCGCCCCTAGTGGCTAAATGACACACAATGATACTTTTAAAAATAGGTTAGATTTGATCAGCTGGTTACTCTATTAATAAATAAATACTAAAAGTAAGATGGCAGACACATATTTAATAGGTTGCTGACTTGACCATTCTATGGCTTAAATTTTCAAAGCTTGCATTAATGTTTTTTTTTTTGTCATGCTAAAGTAAACCTTTTCCAGGAAAACTGGAAGGAAATACTTGAACCGATTAGCAAAAAAATTCAAATAGATGCATCCAGGCACAGGTGAATAGTCTATCTCTCCTCAGGTGGGTCGACTCTTCCCCTTTAACCTACACCCACTGGTCTCCGGGTGAGCCAAACAATGCCAACGGGGAGGAACAGTGTGTCCAGATGAACAGAAATCAAGGTTCAAAGACTTAGACTTTTCTTTGCTGTGAAACCTCACCATGCACACCCATATTCTGACTCGCTGGATAATGACCGCTGGTATGTTAAGGTGGATGGAACGATGCCAACTGTGGCCGAGCTGGAGCGGGTTATGTGTGTAAGAAGTTTCCTGGAGACATCCACACACCTCCTCCCCCCACACAACCCTGGGAGGGCAACTGTCCTGCAGGTGGAGTACAGATATAACATTAGAGAGACCTTCAGACGTCATACAGTAGTGTGTTTCATTGAAGCTTAAAATGTTCATGGAACTTTAAAGGTTTTCTTCATAAATGAGGGTGGATGGGGTCAGAATGCAAGGTTTTCTTCACTTGCTGCCATCTTTCTATCCTGTAGGATGGTTACGTTTTAAGGACAAGTGCTTCATGTTCAAAGGGAAGAAAGATGAACTGAAAGCGAACTGGTCTTATGCTCGAAGCTGGTGCAAAGATCAAGGAGGAGACCTGGCAATTATTGATAACCAGTATGAGAATGGTAAGCATAAGCTCCACTACCAGAGCAGCTCATTGGGCTCATTCCATCCAGCTTACTATAAGCTCATTCTTGTTTATTTTTTTACTCTAGACTTTGTGGCTAGTTACCTCAAAGACTTGAAGCTCCCGACTTGGATCGGTCTGTCAGATCTTTTAGTGGAGAATCAGTACGCCTGGTGTGATGGGGTCAGTCCAGTGCTGTACACCAACTGGAATGAACATGAGCCCAACAATGTAGGAGGAACGGTAAGGATCTTGTAAAAACTGATAAGGATTTTTAGCCAATGCCTTCAAAAACAGGTTAATGATCTTTGATATTCTACTAAACAGGAACATTGTGTGGCCATGACTCATGGCCCTCTCTCTACCGGCAAGTGGAACGATGACGCCTGTCACAAAGATCATAGCTTTGTCTGCTACAGAAAGAAATGTTAGTCAGATAAATTTAATCTTTAATTAATTCAAACCCTTTAAAGCTGCAGTTAATTAATTTCATTTTGTTTGTGTGTGACTGGCTCTGATCAGCAAGCAGCATTGAACCTCCTCCTCCTACCAAAAGCCCCTGCCCAGCTGACTACATCTCCTGGTACGAGAACTGCTACAAGCTGGTTGAGGAACCGGCTACCTGGGATGAAGCTCAGACAGCCTGTGAAGAGCAGGGCGGCAACTTGGCCAGCATTGACATGAGCTATGATCAGGCCTTTGTGGCTGGAGTCGTCCTGCAGGGAAAGGCAGATGCCTGGATCGGATTAAGGCGCAAGGTGCATTCAACATAATCTTTAGCTATAGTGCCTTTTAAAGGGTGGAAGGATGATTGTCATTTTTTAAAGATTTATATCTGAAAGGGTTGGTATGCATTTTATATAAAGCTCACCTTGATAACTGCTTTTTAATGAATAGAGCCTCAAGTCTTTAAAGGAATCTCCTACAGCATCACACTGCTTTCACCGTGCCTCACCATCTTTTTTTGGGAGATGAAAGATATGTGTTGGTGTTGTCTGAATAGAGCGGATTCTTTCATGCTTGCAGTGCTTCATACTTGGGGTGTGTTAAATACAAAACAGGACTTCTCAAAGCACACTAACAGAAATATTTCACCCAAATTTTAAGAGTTATGTAAATTTATTACATAAAAAAATTACCATTTATTTTCTTCCGATAAATTAAACTCAAACTTAATAAATAAACCTTACATGATCTATATCCATTTGTATAACAAAACATATTTATTTGAAAAACCTAATTCTAAACTCATTAACACTAATGAGTGTAATTATTTTAAATACATAAAGTTTATTTTCCTCCTGATAGATTTTCCCACCTAGACTGATGACTTACAAGAACAATAATCTAGGCTTATTTATCTAACTATTTTTGCAAAGGAAAATAGATAGGAAGAGTAAAAACCAAATCTGCTGTAATGCAGGAGGATGGCTCCTACACGTGGACAGATGGTTGGCCAGTTTTCTTCACGCAGTGGGGTCCAGGGGAGCCCAGTAACATCAAGGATGAGGGATGTGTCAGCATGCATGCTTCCATCTGGTTCCATGGGACCTGGAATGACACCAAGTGTGACCAGGCAAAGTCTTACATCTGCAAGATCTCCTCAGGTAAAACCAAACAATGCTGAGCATTTATTTCTCTTGAAATAGTGTATAATCTGAATATGTTTTGAAACATTAATGTTTTCAGCAAAACCGCCTCCGACTCCCAGCCCTGGCGATGGGAAGTGTTTGCCTTTCTGGGTTCCCTACGGCCATTACTGTTACTTTGTGTACGATGGGAAGGAGGCCTTCTCCTGGAATGATGCCCGACACTTATGCCAGTCATACAATACTGAGCTGGTATCCATCCACAGCAGAGCAGAGGTGGAGTTCATCAGGAACTTAAACTACACCAAACACCACAACATCTGGATCGGTCTAACCAGGGACGGAAACTGTGAGTCAAGAAAGAAATAAACCAGGCAACTTTAATTATTCTCTTACAGATTAATCCTTGCAAACACACAGCTATAAATGCAATGTTTTGTCGTTTAGTTGGTTGGGGGTGGACAGACAAGACATCCTTGGGATTCCTTAACTGGGCTCAAGGTGAGCCCAACTCTGCCTTCCATCCCGGGGATATCGCTGAAGAGAACTGTGTGGAGATGTATCCAGACGGGCACTGGAATGACAACAACTGCCTGCAGAAGAGAGGCTTTGCCTGTCGCCATCGCCAGTGTAAGGCGCTTCAAATGCCATTTCTGATGATATGTGATGTTTTACTTCTGCAACCAATCTGGATGTGATGAAATTCTGAGTTTCTGTGTTAACTTCTATTTCAGATTATACAACGGATGAAAATAAAAATCCTATTTTCCCCACTGATAGCCCAGGTGCAAGTAAGTATGGATAATCCTTTAAATAACAAAGTAGATCTTCATGCACGTTTCATTAGATTGTTACACTGTTCAGCCTTATTGATATATCTTGCAGACGAAGGTATTCTGATCTTTGGTTAGCCTACTTCTTTTCACACTTTACATCAAGCACTGAGGGCCCAAAGTTTATATTTAATCTTTTAATAAAAATCCTTCGCCTTAATCACTAGGAGCATGAAGCAGAGCCGTTTATCTGCAGCTGTCCATCTTGGACAGGTCACCAGTCCAATGCAGGGCAATTAGATTCACATGAAAGTTTTATGCTTTTATGCTTAAGATCCATATTAGTTTAATATCTCCAATAATGAAACCTTTAAAAAGATTAACAGTAAATTAGTGAAGTCCATACCTTCATGAATTCAAACTGCCAAAGCATTAAAACCATTGAATAGTTGTAACACAAACTGTAATTTACTTATGAGGCAGAAAACATGAAGATCTTAAAATACATCTGGAAAAAGTTCAATATTTTTTTTAATCTCTTATTTTTAAAATGTGAAAGTCAAATCCAATCTAGATTAATTTCAGAATGCAATATTTCAAGCCTTTATTTTTGATAATTATGGATTATAAAATTCAGTGCCTCTTTATACACAAAATCAATAAAGAAAATGCTATTTTAAACACAGACTGATTTGTATGTACTGAATATATATCTTGTCTCTGTGCAAGAATTACTGCATCAATGCAGTGTGGTGCCTGGAGGTGCTCCTCATGCAGCGCTGTTGGGTTGCAAGGTTGCATTGCATTGTTGCCTCTAATGTCCCTTATCTTCGTCTCGACTGTAGCACATTACAGTCTGTGGAAAATTCTTCCTAGACTTCAAACTACAGACCACTAATGGTTCAATTATTCCTCATTATAGCCCACATTAAATGGAATGGCTGACAACAGAAAGCAACATGTCTTGCCTATGTGTAGGATTCATCTCTATGCAGCTTCATCCACACCATGTGAAGTTCTCCCAAATTCTTCAAGGGATTTTTGATCCATTGCTTTATAACCTTTTCTTTTCATAATTTTCCTTCCACTCAACTTTCTAACATGCTTGGGTATGGCGCTATTTAAATAACCACCTTCTATAACAAAGATATTTCATTTACCCCTTGTGGATTGAGTCAGTGACCATCTTCTGCACAGCTTTCCAGCTAGCCCAATGATAGTGCTGACCCATACTGAGAAACCATCCAGAGGCTCGGGAAACCTTTTCAGATCTTTTGAGATATATAGATTAGTGGTGCTTGTTTCCAATAACTTTTTTTCACAGTTTTAATTTTTGGTTTTCATTGCAAGCCATAAATAAAATTTGTAAAAATGAATTTGTGATGAATCCAAGTATGAGATTCACTTTAATGTATCTGTACAGCATTTTAAAAGCTGCAGAATTTAACATACAGTTGCATCTCTACAGACAATGGGCTGATGGTTGGCGCTACCATCGGAGCAATCGCCTTCTTCTCCTTGATAGCTGGATTGCTGTTCTATGTCTTCAAAGTGCGGGGATATAAACTGAGCAGTCTCACTTTGCCGACGAGAACGAGTACCAACATCGATGTGGTAGGTCATTAACGAGCTGGTTTCAGCTCTGTGAGAAAATCAGGTTGAATTCGTATGAATCTAATGTCCATCCTCTCCCTCTTCTGTTGCAGCCGGCTTTCAGCAACCCCAACTTCATAGGAGAATCGGATACGTGAAGCTTCCCTGTTCTCTGCTTTTCAAAGGGAATATTTTTAAAAATCCTGGTGGTTTAAAAATTATTTTTCTTTTAGGATTAAGCAGTATTGTGGATATCTTAAAACAGCTAAAAATTTGTAATAATATCCTTTGCTTTTCTTTCAAGTGATGAGAATATTACTAAGATTTGTAACCTCAAAAATTGTAAAACGTTTAATGTCACCTTTGCTCCCTTCAGTATCGACCATTACACATAAAAAAAAAAGATTTTTAATCAATTTTTTTATTTTCTTTTGAAAATCCTTCAATTTAAAAGTCTTGCTTTTTCAACCTCTAATTAATTAAAACAGTTTGATCCCAGAAAGATTTTATTGTGATATCTCAGACTACTCTACATTTTTGGACCTTTCTCATAATAAAATACTAGAATTTGAGTCTTAGCATCAGCATCAACATTAAGGAGCCCAAGTTCATTCCTAGAGATGTTTTTACCAACTTAATAAAAGAAAAACGCATTATCTCCCTTATGAAAATTGTCATCTTTATGAAAATGTTATTTGAAGCTTTTGGTGTAACCTTTAAAATTATATCATTATTTTGTTCAAAATAAAGCAGAGAAAGCCTCCCTCCCCCATCAACCTGTGTCATTTCCAGTGTTTATTCATCTTTGTACACTGCAAACACAGTTTTACAAATTTTCACAAAATGAAAAAGAAACATTTTTTTTTCAAAAACCGTTCTGAACATTTTCTTTCCCAGTCAAAACATAATTGAACAATTCAAGACGGCAATTCATAAACTGAGCAGCCAAAACAAATGAAATTAGAGCCACAGGATGTGAACAGAAAGAAAAAGAGAGGCGAATGTTGCAGTTCCCCATCATGTACAGGGTGGACATTCATCTTTTCATACTATAAAGATCATTTCAACAACATCCTGCTGAAGGTTACATAAAAAGAATTCCTAATTACATAGCGGTCGATCCTTATTTAAAATATATCACTTGAATAGAAACAAAGCTAGGAGCAATTTCTGATCATTTGATTTAAAGACCCAAGGTTATACCTAGACCTTTTAGAATTTCATGCAAACAATTCATCCTCCGATTCTGTATATAAATAAAAGGTGGTGATATCAACAAAACATCATATTGCTCTGGGTCAAAGAAGCACAGTCCAACTGGTTTATTGTGGTCTTCACTGCTCTAACGTATCTAAAAGAATTCATGAACAAAATATGTTTGAAAAAAAACTTGATTTTGGTAGAGTTTTCCAGCTGCTCAAAATATGACAGAAAAAGACTTGAATAAGGTGTTCAGCGGGGTTGCACATGTTCTAGGAGCAAAAGTGGGATTTAGATCAAATACAGACAAGCATGAATATTGCCATCTTAAAGCAAGATTTTGACACCACCACAGATATAAGAGGAAGAACTACCGTGGCTACTGAATCATTCATTTAATTCTTTCAGTTATCCAGCTTTTACCGTTTTTTTTTGTAGCTTGTGCCAACAGGAGCAACAACCACAGAGACGAGAAGCTCTTTAAATTATTCAGCTCTAAACTTTTTAATAAAGAGCTGAAGTGTTCTTCAGCTATGGTCTGATGAACCCACCATGAACAAACATCACAACAATAAGATCACCATCACCTTGATCAGAGAAGACAAAGGCTTCTCGAGGCGCACCAAAGTTTTACAGCAGCAAAAAAGAAATATTAAGACAAGGAAGAAGAGCTGGTTTCCACCTATGCACCATTAAAGCTCCAGCTGCTCTTGATCCACAGTGCTTTCTGCACCTTACGGTGTCTGAGAAGGACCAAACTAAAGGCAAGTCTCCAATAATTCAACTTCTTCATAAGGCACATAAACACATCTTTATCCATCATTTGTGATTATTGCACATAAAAGAAATGCAAAACCCAAAAGGTAGCTTAGAATAATAAATTAAAGGCTGATTCTGATTTGTGTGGCACTATAGTAGAAAACTTATTTAGATCACAGGGATCAGGTCAAACTGATGTCTCACAAATAAACATGAAGCTAGCAAACAGATCTGCAGGGTCAACAGACCGAAGATGATTTAAGTGCCATGGTATCCGGTCTCCTCAGAGATCATAATACTAACAAAAGCTTAAAAAAAGAACAACAAATCTCAAAATACTTGAACCACATGTCCTTGATTAAGAGGGCAGATTCACTGAGCCCCAAAAATGGCACTTTTGGTAATAAATTAATATCTTCCTCTCATGTTTGCTTTCAGCTCTGGTTTCAAAATCAATTTAATGCTGTTAATTGAAAGAAAAAAACAAACATACACTGGGGGTTCAGATGACAGATGTTTTTGTTCTAGAGATATTGTGAGAAAAGTGAGGAGTTCAAAAACAAATCATCTCCCATTGACTTTGGTAATGAAATAAGACTAGACCAAGAAAAAAAAAACCTGCGGATAAGACTGACAGAGGACAGTCTAGGCTCCTAGCATCATAGCTTTTGGCTGTCCAGTCTTAACCAGTTGATCCCTTGTCTGATGTAACGGACCATGAAGCTCATACTTGAAATCAGCTTCAGTGGGCCCAGAGCAGCGTCCAGCTCAGTGGAAATACCTGAAACACAAACGTATTAAATTGGATGAATAAACAGCTTTACAGAACGGATGACTTTAAACGAGAAAAAAAAATGTTTATTTATTCTCAAACATTTATCTAGCCTGTTCAATTGGAAGCCATAAAAAAAAAAAAGAAATTTTTTTTTGCTTGTATGAAGGTATACTTGCAGCTGAGCTTTTGAATTTATTGTCACACCTTCTAGTACCAAACACTGGTCTACCCATGAAAGTTAATCAAGACAAAAATATTCAAACATGGTTGACAAAAAAAACAAAAACTGAGCTCTTTGATGTTAATATGTTTTTTATATTAAAACCTATGGATTAATATTACTTCTAATTTCACAAATTTTACAGTTGGAGGAAAATCATAACTAAGGATTTTATCCATTAAAGTTGAAAGCATGCATCATTGGATACATTTTCTGTTTTGATATTAATTCTTACTTTTCTATTCTGGAAGCACAACAGACTCTGTATCTGCAGCAAAGACTATTGTGTAAAAAAAACTTCAAATGTATTTTTCTTTAATTGTTGCTATCTTTTACTTTGTTTAAGACAAGGAGTAAAGATGGTGTTAATCCCAATACAGCTAATATCTGAGTTTAAAAGGGTAGGATGCTAGCTAGCTAATGAGCTCGATGGGTTTTCATTCTTACCGCTGCCTTTTTGTGCCAGTTCCTCTGCCTGCTCCCACAAGTCATGAGCACTAACAAACAGTGAAGTGATGTTGACATAAGAGAAAGCCATTTGTTCTATGTTTTGAGGAATCGCCACAGTGGCACCATCCACAGCGATACTAGACCCGCTGTGATTTGAACTGGGACCTGAACTGGCTGGAGATGGCACACTGGGGGATGGGTTTTCTGCTGTCCTAAAGAAAGAAATATATACATATATATTAAAAAAGTTGAATATCTGTATAGAGGGACTAACATCTCAATTATTTAGAGGATAAAATGACTTACTTTGATGAGGAAAGATGTTTTTTTGGCCCCTGAGCAAAGTTCTGAAAGATGATCAGAATTTAACATTAGTATGACAAAGAAAGCAAAGACGATTATAAAATGTTCGCTTTTTAAAAATTATTTTTTTTTTTACTTACACTAAAGTGATCTGTAAGTGTTTTTGAAAACTTTATTGCGATCTTTTGTTTGTGTCGAAACATGGCCATCTGCAGGAGGGACTGGCATTTCAAACTAAAAGCATGATACAAAAAAATAAAATAACGGAGTGGAAAATATTAGATAGTGCTACAGGATGGGAATAAAATAAGCTGCAGAAATCATTCCTCATTATTCTAATAGCCAACAGGAGAAGAAGCTTCACTCTTACCATAAAGCTACAAAGTCCTTCTCTGAGGGTGCAGCAGAGGAGTCCACTGGGTTTTTGAGTTTCAGCACAAATCTGTGAGCATGAGACAAACATCAGCATGAATTATAAAAATTATTCCTCACACTTCGGTTGAAGTACACTTTACAAATAAAGTAAGATTTAAATGTCCTGTATAGGAAAAGTATTTGGGGGAATTTTCTGAATAAATCTGTCTGCAATACATCCCAAAGCCCCTGAAAGAGTGCTGAAGTATGACGTCTTACTTGAGGAGCTCCACAGTCTCTGCAAACATCGTATAGGAAGACCCTGAAATCTGGGGGTCTTTCTCCAAGGCAATGCCACTCTCAACGAAGAACATGGCTGCTTCCAAGTAGGTGAACGCTTTACTGAGCTTATCTGGCTACACAGACATAACAGAATAGGAGTAAAAAGACAGCAAATCCACTGATGTGTAGAGTGTAGTGCAATAATAATAATAAAAATAACAACTTACATCTGCATCTGCTTTGTGCTTAAGTTTTTTAGCCTCTTTTATGTAATGGTTCACTGGATACTGTCTGTGAAAACACAGCATATTGAGATAAACATACTTCCTAATGGAAAGATAAAATGCATTAAACAATAGCATTGATCTTTTATCACTTGAGAAGAAACATTTTCACTGTCACTATATTCAGTCTCAGTTTATCGCTAAGTCAAGTCACACTGTCACTGTCACTACATGTGTTAAAGAGTAAATTCTGAAAGTCAATGATGCAGTCTGTTAGGGTTCCTTAATAGAACACAGTTAAAATATTAACCTAAACTTGACTGCATCATTTAATCATTACGATCAATTTGGAAATAACTGACTTTCAATCAGTTACCATGACTGGATTGATTGATTTTTTAAAAGTGTTTTGAGGACACATGTTGTGAACATGATGTTATTTAAATATATAAATTCAGATTAAAATAAAAAGACATTAACTTCAATCTCAAGTGCTTTGTTCAAAAAATAAAAAACAGATGCACTGTTAAAATACACCAAAGGAGCTGCCGTCATGTAGGAAACATCAGAAGCGCTAAACAATATATTTAAAGGATTAAAACTTAATAGACCCATTCTCTGTCGCTCCTTTAAATCCTGAAATGAAGAAAAGGCCCTAATGAAAGGAAAACAAACCTGCAGTAACTAGCAGAAGTATTTACACTGGATGAATATTTTCTAAGTTTTTTTTTAACTTTTACGGAATGACTATGACCTGGATGACTGAGAATCTTCATCAGATCACAGTTATGTGCCGCTGTTTACTCTAGCTATTAGTTTTTCTTCTTCTATTTAAGGATTAAAAATGACACCATGATAAATAATATTTAGGTCAAACAAAACAGTAACATTGGATAGCAAATGAAGAGAGCAACAATGCATGCGCTTCATGTGATTCAAGGCAGGGGTGCTGAATGCACTAATGAATCAGCAAAGACATGCATGTATGTAAAGACAAAAAAAAATTAAGAATACATTGGCATAAAACATTGCATTGATATACGAGTCTATCTCTAGCCCAAATTTTGGAAATTCTTTAGAAACTCTTGTATTTTTTATTTTTTTACTCATTTTTTTCTCTGCCTTTATGATGCTATTTTTCCACTATTTTCTCCAAAAAAAAAAAAAACTCTGAGTGTGCCTGCACCTAAATCTACTGAAGTTTGTGGCGGTAATATGGCAAAATGTAGAATAAAACATATTAAATTGGTACAAATCCCTTTTCAAGCTCTATAAGAAAGAAAAACCTGGATTTTCTTGGTGGAAAAAAGCAAGATTGTACCTTTTGTCGATTTTTAACAAGGATCTGTTGCTCGCAGCTTCTTTCTGGGGCTGTGAAGTTGAAGGCACAGTGAGTCTGCCTTCTGGAGTCTTTCCCTGACATTTTAGAGAGCACATTAGGTTAAAACATTTAGTTCAGTAAACAGTTAGCTTAATCATATACAGCACCACATATAGTAATGACGTTTGAACAATCACCTTTTTATGGAGTTTTCCTTTGATCTCCTTGTGCTTTCTGGACTCCTTGCTCTTAACAGTCTCCTTACTTTCCACCAGTATCTTTGCAGAGCGGTTCTGTACCTTTGAAGCTTTAGTTGTGTCTTTGGAGGAAACCGGTTCCTGGGATGTTTTCTTAACCTTTTTTTGCTCTTTGCCTGGTTTGTTTGAACCCCTGAGGGAAATAACAGAGTTGGTGAAAAGCCACGTCTGATATGTAGACAAATGAATATTTAAACCCGTCTTTGCTTATGTGGACGTACTCTACTTTCACAGAAGCAGGGTTTATTGAGGTTTGCTTTTTTTCCAACTTGGGTTTCTTTTTTGGAGGGCCTTTAATCTCCACCTTGACCTAAAAAAAACAAAAACATTGCTTAGAATAATATTTTCTGATAACCACGAGTACCATCTGAAGCGTCCCTCCTTTCCCCACAAATTCCTCACATTTTGGCTCTTTTTATTTACTTTTCCAGGTGTGGATGCTTTGGAAGACTCTTTGCTTGCTTCTTCCTTCTCCATCTCTTTTGCTGCTCTCTTTTCCTTCCTGGGAACCTCTTTGTTATTACCAGGAACTCTAGAGAGCAGACTGAGATCAAACTTTACCAGCAGGGATTTAGGAGGCCGGTAGTGGTCCAATGAACTGCTTGCTGCCTTGCTGGCATTATTCAAGTGCTTGTGGGTTGATTTGTGAGGCACCTTGGTCTCTGTATGGGTTTTGGAACAGCTGACCTTGATTGGAGGAGCAGGAGACAGGTTATGATGTTTAGTGTGTTTAGTCCTTTTTGCTTCTTCTTTAGTGTCTTTTCTGTCCTTTTTCTGATGCCCTGTTTTTGATTTTGCTTTCGGATTGTCTGTTAAACGTGACTTTGTGTTTTCTGTGGTTACATGTTCCTCAGTTTTAACACAGATTGCTGTTTCAGGGCGGTCTGTGCAGGAAGTCGCTGAAGCCTTTGAGAGTTTCCTGGAACTGCTGCAGTGGCTCGCACCATCAGGAAGGCATGTTTTGCTGTTGTCCTGGCTGAAAGAGCCCGCCCGGCTACTTTCGCTGCTCCGCTGAGGAACAGCAACATCAGCTGTAAGCTCTTTTTGCTGAGATAAGGACTTGGATCCCTCACTGGTGTCTGCACAGGTCTGCTTGGAGGTTTGAGCGTCAGTGTTTGAGTTCTGCTGACGGGACCTTAACCACTCTCCCAGCTGCCAGTCACAATGGCTTACTGCGACAGAATCAGGCTATAAAAGGAACAGAAAATCTGGAGTTAAATAAAAGTAAAATAGGCAGGAGCGAGATAACTGTATTGAGTGATAATTAAAATGTAGTAAATGAATGAAAGACCTCAATTTTAACTAGTTTGCTGTCTAGAGGTTTCGGTGGTTCCTTCACAGAGACATCGCTGTCTGACTCGGACTCTACGCTGCTCTCAGAGTCGCTGGAGCTCGTCGTCTCTGCATCACTGGAATGTGTAGCTGTGAGGGACCTAAAGAAAAAACAAAATTACACAGACCGATATTAAAAGTACCTTTAAGTTAACAACTAATTGGAGCTCTGATTACGTAATTGATTAGTTACGTAATCAGAGCTCCTGAGAAGCAAACCTGTGGATGTTATTTAGGAGACACTGCTCCCTTGAAGGACAAATGAAAAATCAAGGAAGAATCAGGGAGAGTACTGGGGGATCTCTATTCTGGGGAGTCATATAAATCCCATGGTTCACTACTTCACTAGCCCCTGAAGGTGCCTGCTTTGTATTTTGAAACATTTATTGAATGATTGATTGATAGACTTTAATGACAAATTTACTCCTTACGTCGGCTCAATAGTCAAAAAGAGATGTTGCCAAAAAGAGGAAAAGGTGTTTGTGTGCATATATATATATATATATATATATATATATATATATATATATATATATATATATATATATATATATATATATATATATATATATAAAAAAAAACAACCCTAAAAACTCTTCCTCACTAATCGCGTGTTGTCTTCCCCCTTTTTCCTCCTAGCTCGGGTCCTCTACCAGAGGCCTGGGAGCTTGAGGGTTCTGTGTGCAGTATCTTTGCTGTTCCTAGAACTGCACTTTTCTGAAGATGCCCAGCTCCTCTACAGACTAGTGCAAGGGGTGAGAGGTATTGTCCATGATGGATGTAAACTTGGACAACACACTCCTCTCACCCACTTATATATGAATTATAACAGCCTGAGGATGTCCTGCCATCATACATGAGGGAGACAGGTTATGTGTCTCATAGACAGACCTGTTCTGATGTCAAATTTGTCCCAGAACAAAAGCAAAACATCCTCTGAACATTTTGGCTAAAGCAGCTAAGGCAGTGCGATTAAGACGGCAAAGTATGTCATGAACAGACATTGGCTAAAATGCCACTCATAAAAAAGAAGCCATTAGAAGATGGTCACCAAATGCAATTAGGGAAACAGACCTTGATATTAGTCTGCCTTATAGAATATGAAAGTACAAATAATCTGCACCATGGTTAGACAATCTCAACTCTTGGCATTATCAGTGCATAAAAAGATGTTTAATGAAGAACCCTGAAAACAAGTTAAACAATTTGACATTCATTCTACAGTTAAGGAAACTTAAAATTTATTTGGCAGAGCCAATATTGTCAAGTGAGAATAGGAGGAGATGGATTTGGGGGAATTTTCTGGATCAGGTAAAAACTAATCCAGGGAATTATAAAAATAGGATAATCAAATGGTGGGGAAATTACGAAATAAAGTAGCTAAACTAAAATCAGCATAAAAACTATAAATCTGTATGTAAAATAAAACAAAGTTATTTGGTTGATCAAACAACAATGACCATCCAAGAATACTGAATGCACAAGAATTTCTCCTTCATTGATATATTTTAAAGATTTCCACAGTTACTTAATTTCCATTTGGGATTAATAAAGTATTTTTGAATTTGATTTAATTGAACAATAACTGAGTGACTTTATCCTGTCTGAGCTTATATTAAAAAACTGTACATTACATTATGAATGATGTTACTTACTTTGATGAGTTCTCCTGGCTGTAGTGAGACTGATCTTTAATGGAAAATTCTGTGATTTCTGAGAAGAGAAAAAAGGAGAGACATTTATTTTAGTTGAGAGGTTTGGATCAAATAAATGGGACCAATAAGGGACACTAAGGGCCGGATTTATCAAGATCCAATTTTGC